CGACTAATGTTGGTAAGGGTAGTGTGGCAAACTGAAGGAAAAAAATCCATATCCATGTAAACGGTAGTATAAACCCATCCCCAACCCCCCCCAAATTGTTGACTTATCAATGGGCTGGGGTCCCAGCTGTTGATAAACAGCTCTAATGACTCAACCACCAGCCACTATGGAGTGTAATCCTTAAAGCTCTCTATTGTTAGAAAACATCACCCAGGAGTGGTGTTCATCAAACCACAGGCATTTAGCTAGTGACTCCCTATCATTGCCCGCTTTACTCTGAAGCGGGTAAGGAGCTTATCGTTTATGTATTGTTTCCCACTTCATGAACCATTTCTATTTTGATTTGGTGCCTAACCTATTTTACTTTGTACTGTAGGACCTCTCTTAACCACTTCATGCCGGGGCATTTTTCAATGTTGATGATGCTGGGCCGGCATGACTATCATCTTTTCTGTTTTTAAAATCCTTCAAAAATTCATCATTTCATTTAACGGTCGTTTATAGCCGCACCAAGTAATCTTTAGGCACTACTCTAAGTTGACAGGTGACCTTCACTGACACCCAAGTATTTCAGCCAGGCCTGCAGCCTTGTAAACAGAGCCCAGATTGTGTGGTGTTATATAACTGTCTTTTGTTCACGAACCTGGCTTAGTGCACTGCTGACCTCTTTTCAATAGGGGCCAGATTACCGTGCAGCGGTGCTGTGTGGCTCATCGCTACAGTGGTGGAGCGGTTTTGTCCCCGGTGGTAATCCGCTTGCTCTAAATACCCCAAACCCTGGTATACGGTTTCGAAACAAGGCTGGATTATCACCACTTTTGAGAGTGAAAAATGTCAGTAATACCCAGCAGCCTGGTCTTTTGCTCGGAGTACGGTCTTTTGTTACAGGGCCCTGTTTCCTTTGTTCGAGTTCGGAGACCCCGGCCACGCATATAAACCATACGTCTCCAATTCTGGAGTCCCCGGCAGGAAGTGGTTAAGATCATATAGCAGTGTAGAAGCCTTTTCAAATGTTGTACCTCAGCTTAAGAACTGTTTGCCAACTGATATCACAGACATGGAAAATGTTTCATTTTTCACACCTCAACTCAGAACACATCTTTTTATGCAGTCTTCTTGCATCAGTTGAGCTTCACTTTTCCTGAAATTCAGGCGGATACCTTTGAGTGGTTTCAGGAGAAAATGCAGGTTTTAAATTTTGAGTCATTGTAATTTCTGATCATACAATAATGCTTTGAGTATGAAAGGCTTCCAAACCTGATTGAGATCTTCATGTAATCCATCCAGTAGAAATAAGAGAAACTCCTGTGAGTCATGGTGGTGACCAATGTTCTTACGAAACTCAGGAACATATTTGGTAACAGTGTCCCGAAGGTCTAAAGGTGAGATGGAGCGGTATTGACCAGACCAAATAGCCTTGATGACAACAGCAAACTCTTGTGCTACATTACCCCCACGACCAAGAGGGTTTTGCCTAACAAAAACAGTAATGTTTTAAATCATTTCAAGCAAGGTCAAAACTGAACATAGAATACACATAATTACAGATAGTGATGAGGCTTTTCTAGGCCATGCAAGAACTGTGATGTTATAACCTCCAAATGATACAGAGTAGCTTTGGGTATGCAATCTAATAACTGAAGGTTTTATTCCTTCTTTTCATGTGTTGTACTGATGTACCGTTAGTGATGACACTATACATTTCAAAACAGTCTCTATTTTGACATGATAGCCTAGAAACATAGAAAAACATCTCCACAAATATTTAAATATCTGGCTTCATACTTGTAAATTTCATGTTTTGGTTAATAAGTTTATCAGATTGAACTTACCTATTGATGTCTGGAACATACTTGTCAGTGATGAAGTAATGAGTTAGTGGTGTTGAATTGCTTAAACATTGGACAACTGAGTTCATGAAGCATGTGTTTCCAAGGTTACGTAGTCCAGTAAGTGACCGTCCCTGCGTAAGGCAAGGGCAAAGATGGGAGTATACATTGTAGTTTAAACAATGTCCTCTCAACAGTGTATTTTATCTTGGATCCCTCGTATTTTGCACAAACAAGCTTGAAAATTTTCTGCCATTAGAGTTGAAGTTAAAGTTGAAATAAACCTACTTTTGATAAGTGATTTATAGACGCTTGAGGTCAATAATGCAATCAGAGTATACTGGAAACCTACATGTATTTCCATTAATGCGCACATCAACATCCCTGTATAGACGTATTATACAAAAAAATGATTGTCAATATTGGTGGCAAGTTTGCAGAAAGTTCACATATGATTGACAGTATTTTTTTTCTCTAATAATCAATTAGTGTAATACATATAACTTTGATTACTGTTTAGAAGTTTTTGTAGTTCATGTTTGAGTAGTGGCCCAAGATTTGTAATGGGCAATTTCACACAAAAGTGGAAATTTGGTCATATGGTTATTGGCCTTATTATACATGAAGGTGATTCTTGAATTACAAAGGCTTTCAGAAAAGACAGTGGAAATAAGTATAATCACCTCTAATTCCACAATTTTCTTTCTTTTCTTCGGGAAAAACTTCTTTTGTTTGTTATTTATGATTCATAAATACATGTACCTCAGACAGTCTCCCTATTCAATATGTTCAACAATGTGCAACTTGACCGTGTATTAACATTTGATAATGCCCGTTGAGAATTGACAATGCCCGCTGCATGAATCACTCACTGGAGCCTGGATAAAAGACAGTTCAATCCATTCTGATTGGTCAAGAGTCTGTGTGCACATGGCTTGCACGTGTGCATTTGCACAAGGAATATTCCATAAAATGGACTGGGGTGTTCAGGAAAATGAGAGTAAAATTGTTAAAGAAAAATGCTGGAAATCCATCACATATTGACTTCTTTTGATTCACTGACTAAAAAGGTGTTTATGAATGGGAAAAAATGTGCGCTTGGCCAGTTAGCATTTGAGACTGGCACAAACTATCATTTAAGACCTGCTAAGGAGACTGAACACTGATAATACCCTCGCTTGTCAGTCACGTCCATTCTCCTGAGCCAGTCTTAAACACAGTTTGAAGACATGCAAAGAACACATTTATTCTCTTATTAATAATGTCGTCTGTAACAGCAAGACCAAATTAGCACTTTTGCATGGATTTTCCTGAAACCTTTGTCAGTGATTCTTTTTTTTTTCGAAGCCAGTCTGAGTTTGCCAAATGCTGGTGGAAAAAACATACATGCATCAGTATCACATGCCAAAATGTCACTTCCAGGAAAGTCTGGATTCCAAACTATGAGGAAAATATTAATAACACAACACTTCAATCCCTAAAAATACATGTAACTTAAAAGTCAACTTACTTGACTACCATACACAGGATTAAGGTTGCGGGCTCGAGTGACTGCCAATGGTTTTTGGGGGGGTGGTGACTGTACAACTGAGGAAGATGGCATCCTGGTACAAACAAAAATCAACATTAACCGCTTCCTGTTGGGTGGAGTTTGCATACATGTATGCAAGATGGGTTCCTAGGGGATTTTCAAAATTTTTTGTTTTCAAAATTCTTCAAAAATTCATAACTTCATTTACTGGACGCTTACACCCACACGAATGACTGTGTGGTGGCTACTCTAATCTGACAGGCAACCGCCTGCCCCCTAGTAAAGAGAGCCCAGACTGTGCAGTGTTGCATAACTTCATTTGTACCTGAAACTGGCCCAGTGCATTGCTGAATGGCAATGGTGTCTTTTCAAATGCGGCCAGATTAGCGTGCAGCGGTACTATATCACTCACCACTGGAGTGCTGGAGCACTTTTGTCCCTGCTGATAGTCTGCGGATGCTGAATGTGGCAAACAGTGGTATACTGTTTTAAAACAATGATGGATTACCCTTGACTAATGCCAGCTGAAAAATGAGTGCAATTCCCAGCAACTCGGTCTTTTATTCGAGTACGTTCTTTTGTTAAAAGACCCAGCTCCTTTGTCCGATTTCGGGCACTCCGGCTATGCATACAAACCCAAGGTACCCAGTGCCAGGAACCCCGGAGGCAAGTGGTTAAGCTTAAAGCAAACCCAAAAGCTTCTTACCAACACGTGTACGACAGTCTCCTAACCACTGGTATTAAAAGAAAAAGCTGCATATAGCTAGCAGTACTTCAAAGCTACAAAAGTCAACTGTTTTCCTAAGTTGCCATTTTCATCTGTCCAAAAAGTTGGAACTTTAAGCTAAGAAAATTACAACAGAGGTTTTGTACTAACAAACATTCACACACCCGTGAAATGAAGGTACAGGACCTACATGCACAGGAAGTCTAGAAATAGAGGGGGTAAGCACAGTTCGGCGTCATCCCTAAGTGTTCCAGAACGCGGACATTTCGCAGAATCACGGACAGCACGCTAATCCCTGCCAAACAAAAGAGCCGTTAGCAACCGGGCGCCTCCTCGGACGGAGCGCAATATGCAAGCTTTATGTAAATTACCAACCTCATGAATACGCCCGATCTTCCGCACATTGGCCGGCAATCTTTGGCAGGGCAAATCCCTTGGAATCAGCACGTGGCTGAGTTCCCCTGACCGACCGGTCGACTTCTAGTTAGAACAAGATCGGCCACCAACTTCATAAAAACCACAATTTTTTTTTTCCTGAAGTTGGCCAGCTTCCCTGGTGGGAATTCCGATACGGATGCATACGTTTAGGTACTGTGCAGGATTTGCATGTGCTGCAGTTTGCCAAAATTGACCGATTTGGGGGTTTGTGACTTAATTACTTTATGTATCATTCAAGGGATTGTTTCAGCTTCTTAGTACACTGCTCTGAGAAAAATTGAGAAAGACGCTGTTCATTTTTAACAGTCGGAGCGCAGCATGATTTGTCTTGCCAAACATCATGGACCTCAGGACATTCCTGTCTGCCAGGACAGTTTGATCTGGCTCTTAAGAACGACATTCTTTTCCTTTGCTTTCAAGGTAATTGTGGTTGGTGAATTAATCTTCAACTTGTGTTTCATCTACAAAAATGCAATGCTGAGAATTGTCAAATAATGATTCATTCCGCAGCGAGTTGACTGCTGCAGTACCACAGTGACTTCGCGACCACACAAACCGTACATGTAATATACATGTAAATGTACACGTGCACAATTAACTGATCACATTCACGTACATGCACAAGTACAGTTCGCTTTCACACGTAGGCCAGCGTACGTCAGTCAAAAACCGTTCACCTGCGCATCAACAGCGCCCATCGTTAACACATCATAAAACAACAAATGTGGCAACCACATGCATCCTTGCATTTTGGTGAAGTGAGTTACTGTGATTTGAAAATTAAAAAGCTTAATGTCTCAATATTGAAGTGGAGATTCTGTTTGAGAAGAGCTGGTCCTGCAGCTCCTCCGGAGAGGTCATAATTGATTTGGACTATACCATTATCTTGAGGGGTGAAACAGAGATGATATAATTTACATGAGGTAAACTTCCAAAGTTTCAAAAATAAAGTTTAGTTTCAGATCAGTCCAAATTCTCTTTCGGGTTATTAGTTATGGTTCTTTATCTATTTTATAAGCTACTACAGTGGAACGCCGCTATACCGAACACCGCTATACTGAACATTCAGCTGTACTGAACATCGTCTTTGGCTCCCAATAATTTGTGCACAGAACCTACCAAACACTATTCATTTGCCGCTTGTAATTCCCAAACGTCAACACGATAAAACAGTCAGTGTTTTTCATGTTTGAAAGTGACAAGTGGCCATTATTTCAACGAGGATTAGAAGGGAAAGCCACTAGTTGTCAATGGTATTGAATTGACACTGGTTTTGCGACTCCACATGACTCCACATAAAAACATGCTGACATCAAAACAATTACTAGGTTTGTTCCGAGTTTAAGGTTTTATGAACATGAGATATACACGTACCTACAAACACCCAGTCGCATGAAGGAACAAAGAAAAGAGACCAGCGGCTAAACCACCTTTTGAGAGCGACAGCTAGTGCTGCAGCCAAACTGCAGGATCAAGCCCAAAATCATAGAACATGGTACTTTCGAACAGAACTAAACCGATCAACACATGCACTGGTTGGTTTGGATGTTCGGCTTTGATATGGCAAGGTATTGATAGCAAACGGAATGTACTTAGAAAAAATTAAAAAAATATCAACACAACGAAAAATGGAAAACGAGTTTCAGTACATGTACTGTACTTTATATTCTGCATCCGCGCTCAGTGGCAGATGTACATGTACACATGGTGTGTAGAGCGGGTATGTACAGTAAATTTCTATGGCCCCGGATCACATGATGGTGTAAAATGCACGCGGTGAGAATTCATTAATAACCCACCAAGAACACGCAAGGTGTGGCATTTCAGCTGCAGAGCATTACAAAATTATTTCATGGAAAAAAAAAAACCGGAACACAATTCACTCGTAATACAGTTTGATTTTATATCCTGTAAGGTAGGAAATTCCTGTTGAGCATACTGTTTTTGCTGTTTTCACATATCTTACGATTGTTCTGTCGAGTCAAACCTGCAATAAACATAACCGTTTGGGTCAACAAACTCATTCAGAAAATGTCACACCGCCTCCAATCATAATATTCCACGAAATTGTAATGCCTTAATAAACTTTGGAAAAACGTATAAAACTGTTGAAACCAAAGTTGCTCGTGGATATTGGATGGAAAACAAGATTCCAAAATAGTATTAATGTATCGTTTAAACGTGGAAGTACTATGGCAAGTTCGTAGCGAGCTCCCAATTTTGTCTCAGTGTGCATTGACCATTGGACATGCACATGTGTACAACACATGTACGTATGCACAAGCTTGTACATGTCAAAGTTTGGGAAAAAATCTCTTCACGACCGCAACGACCCCATCGTCTTTAATAAATGTTGAAACTGGAAGTGGGGGAACAAATTGTACGCAGAACAGCTGTTGGTATTCATGAGGTCCAGAGAAATCATACTTATTCATGATGCTTTTTGTCGTGATGACAAAAGGGCACACGGCCGCCTGGCTCATTAAACCACTCACACTTCAGCGCACAAATCCATCACGTCCGCGGATTTCCCCCCTACTTAGCAACGCCAGACCGATCGGAAAAACACTGACAATATGCGGAAGAATGCTTAGTCAATTTTGGGATGACGCCTCACATGAACTTTCTCCCCCACGTGGAGTGGGTCGGGTCTCCTAGTGATACTTACCCCTGCCCAGCCTTCATATGCAAATTTCCCACGTGTCTATTACAATTCACCGAAAAGACTTGATCGTGCATACTGCCCCTTGACCCTCCATAATGCACTGCGATCCTGCGGCCATGTCCGTCCTTTTCTAAGCGGTGAAAACCACGGGAGCCAAAGTGGGGTAGGATGGGCGGGGAGCACCTGGGCAGAGGTAAGTATCACTAGGAGACCTGACCCACTCCACGTGGGGGAGGAGCCTCCTGCGTTCACATACCCCTGCCCAGCCTACATATGCAGAGTGGCACCGAACCCTGGAAGTGGGTCGGCAATGGGAGTGTAGTTACTACCAGGAACATAAGGCGGGTGTTGCAAGAGCGAACACTCACCAGGAGAAGCTCCCAAGTCGAAGTATCCACCAGCCGACAAGGCAAAAAAGTAATTGCGGATGGCAGTAACCTGGAGGCCCAAGTGGAACAGATACATTAAGAAGTCTTCAATGGAACTCACAGGAAGTCGTGATCATCTTGGTCGTCACACCCTCTAGTAAAATGTTGTCGGCCGATGTATATCTTGTGAGTGAACAGCCATTGACCCCAGGCGAATATAGACGCAAGGCCAGAACTGGGTGATGAGGAGGATCTGACATAGCTTCGTTCTATCTTGGACAAGACCCGCGGGATGAGGGAGATTGGAGGGAAGGCATATGCCAGAGGACCCAACCAGTCAATCTGTAGGGCGTCTGGAGCAGAACGTTGGAAGGTGGGCATTGCTGGCGGGAGAGAAGAGGTCGAATTGAGGATGCTCGATCTCCGCAAAAATCTGGCTGACAACATTCGGATAAAGAGTCCACTCTGTCGGTCGGACAGGACCCGAGAGAGTGCCTCTGCTGTGCTGTTGCTGGTTCTGTTATGTGGACAGCTTGAAGGCTGATCCCCTGATCAATCGTCCACATGAAGTGCTGCCACGCAAGGGCGCAGGAGTTGAGGAGGGCCAGTGCCACCCTGATGATTGATGTACGTCACTGTCATTGAGGCGTCGCTCTGGACTCGAACGGAAAAACCTACTAAGTGCTGTCGGAAGTGACGAAGAGCATTGAACACCGCTTGGAGTTCTAACACATTGATATGTAGGCCTTGACAGGCAGTGTCCTAGATCCCAGAGGCGCAGAGAGGAGAAAGAGAGGCTCCCCATCCGTATAGTGACGCATCCATCGTCACAGTCACATGCGGACTTGGAGGGACGAAAGTAAGGCCAGCCCACA